GAGACTAAAGCAGAGACTAGGCCAGGAAGAATTTATACCTATATGACAGTATGTGATGTTCTAAGAGACTAATTTCTTCTACTTTTGAGTATTTCTAAATTGATTAATTAAAACAAAAATACAAAATATTGTCTTTCTAGGTATCCCTTCATAAGCAGTACCTTTATTGGATTCCAAAGGCTTCCATTATAGGGGGGAAAAATTAACATTACTATAATACCTGACAAAATGTTTTGAGCCACTTTCTCACTCCATTCAGGTAATTCTTTTGCTTTTTCTTCTGAAACTGGCTCACAGGGTACAATGTGACTCAGATTAACTTCTTCACTTGAAGTATCTTTAGCCTAAATAGTAAAAATGTTTCAAAATGTGAAAGAGTTAGTTAAGTACTAAGAAGGGGTTAAATAGAAGCATTATATAATAAAATACTAAGCCAACAAATATTAGATATAATTAATGAAAAATATCTCCAGCCAACCTAGTTGTAAGTATGCCTTATAAAACATAATACCAGAACTTCTATAAAGCTGAAAACTGTTCTGGCCTATATAAACCCTCACTGATAAAATTTAAACATCAACGTAAGTCCGATGTAGCATTTATCAAATCATATTTAAATTGGCTAACTTTTTTCTTTACTTGACTAGACTATGAGTTCCTTTCATACAGATATCATACCTAGAAGTAGTATGTACATTGTACCCAGTAAGGTTAAAAACGATTTCTGTTAAATGATTCAATCAGTAAGGAAAGATGTATTCAAATAAACTGCTTTTGACAGAGATTAAGTAAACATCTAATTTGAAATAAGAAAATATAAACACAGAACAATCTGCCATTCCATGGAAATACCTGTACTTTGCTAATTTAACAGCTGCTATGAGAGAGCTAGGGCCAACACACAAACACTCAAAGCTAAATGAATTCATTCTAAGAACTCAGGAGCAGGCTGACTCACATCTCATAGCATTAAAAATAACTTGAAAACCAAAGTGCCCAACAGAAACACAAAGAACCACTTAAAATATAAAAATAACATTAAACAAAACAAAAATGTCTACATGGGGAGAAAAGCCACCCATAAATGAAATCTAAAGACAAACTGGACACATTTTTTGCAACTTTTATCTTTGACAATGGGCCAAAGTCCCTAATATATAAAGAGCTCCTAGAAACTGAGATGAAAAAGACTCACAGCTCAATAATAAAAATGGACAAAGTGAGATTTAACTCAGTGACAAGTTACAAAAAATGGACAAAGGGCATGAATAGACAATATACAGGAAACAGAATTCAAGAGACCATTAAGCTTAGATTTTCAACATTACTCAAAATGAAACCAATGCAACTAAGATACTTTATTCTCATATACCATTTCTCATCTATTAGACTGCCAAAATACAGAAAAACTGATCACCCACTCTGTTGATGAAGATATGAGGAAACAGGTACTCTTATACACTGCTGGTGGGAGTACTAAATAGTGTAATCCTTAGGAGGTCAATTTAGGAAAACCTATCAAAATTACAAATGCATTGATCTTTTATTTAGCAATCCTACTTCTGAGAACTATCTGATTATCTTCAAATGTATGAATCAATGGCTCTACAAAGTTATTCACTGATGCATTATTTGTAATAGCAAACAACTGCAATCATACCAAGTACCCCTCAATAAGAGAATGTTTAACTATTCTCTTCTTTAATGAAACTATGATATAGTCACAGAATGAAATACCAGGGCAGCTGCAAAAAAGTCTGAGGACGTTCTCTATTTACTCATATGTAAAGATCCCAAAATTTATTATCAAATGAAAAAAAATACAAGACACTCTCATATTGTACATTATCTTTTGTATAAGGTAGAAAAATAAGAATTTGTATTTGCTTTGTCTGCCTCAAGAAACCCAGGAAAGTTACACAATGTCCTAATAAAAGTGATTAACTACAGTGGCAGAGGGAATGGTGTGGAAAGGGACAAAGATAGGAATAAAGCTTTTCAC